AACCAGTTGCTCAACCCTCTGGGGGAGCAGAGAGGTGAGCCATGCAGACTGACAATGTCGTCTTCTTCTTGGGAAATACTGATAAACAGTTGATACTATTTTTCCATATAAGATGTAGAACAATTGATATTTTCCATTATAGTCCATGTCAAGGCTACCTCCTTAGAATTCTAATATTAATACATATGGGCATGTTTATCTCTTCACAAAGAATTCCAGTGGTTCATATTAATTATTTTGGCTTCCCATTGTGAAATGTCTGAGGTGCGAAGTTTAAAATGTAGAAAGGTTTCTACTGTAAAAGAACTTATGGAAGAACCTCTGTAGCAAAAAAAAAGCCAGAATACCTGCCAGAAGAATGGATGCAATTACAGTGGCCCTAATCAGAGGAATTAGTTTAACATAACTCCCACTGAAATCAATAAGGCAAGTTTGTTGTACATGGCTTACATTCCATTTATTTCAACAGAATTTAAGGATGACTAACTGTACCTAGATTGGGACTATGTAGTTGAAAGCCTTTCCCTAGGGTGAAGAACAGGCTTGAGAGAGATGTCTTTGGGGCAAGACGTGTTTTGTTAGGTTTCTGTACTGAGCAGCTGTGAGAAGCAACTCCTAGTTGTCATACTTTCATTTTTTTACCTGCAATACTTTGGTATATAAAGAACCTGATTGGATTTAATATGGGTGTGTATAAGAACAGCACCAAGCAGACAGTTAACCATATAAAGATGGAGGTTTTCCTTGCAAAGTAAGGAAGACTGGTCTATCTTGAAGTTGGTAAAATAAACTTTGAAGTTACTGCCTGGAAGCTGCAAACTGATACCTTCACACTGAGGACACTGAGAATTTGCATTTCAGCTTTGTTCCATATATGAATTCAGCCAGTACAACTTTCTGTAAAAGAGCTAGAGTGTTGCAAATCTGACTTTATCAGAAGTAAACTCAAGCCCATTCACAGTCTCAACCAAACCATTTGAATTTATATGCTCAGTCTAAACGGCCTGGGAAATAGCTGAGATTGTATTTGGGGTATTTCAGTGTAAATCCCATAGTCCGTAACAAGATTCTTTTGTACAATTGGGTAATTATGCTTCTCACTTCTAAGCACTACAGATAATCAATTTTAATCAGGAAATCATTTCTAGTAGACAGAATCATGCCTACTTAAGAAAAAAGATATTGACCTTGGAAAGTTGATTTCAGATTCAATATTTACTTACAACCATGATGTCCAGCTTTTTCAACCCAATTTTCCACTTGGGCTGACAGAAACACAGTGGTTTAGCCAAGGTTATGCAGACTTATTCACTCTGCTAAGAGTTAACCCCAGGATCACGTTGGCTCCCATTCTTTCATTATAATTAGTTGACTGAATGACCTATTATATCCCATTATACACTTTAACAGATTTTTCCCCTTATCTTTGACATTGATGATCAACACCAGGGAGAAAACATTATTGTTCTGTAGGAGAGAAAGATGAATGTTTTCAGTGAGACCATTTTACTTTCCCTTTTCAGCTACTCCTTGTATACACATGAAGTACACAGTGTATTCCAAGAAACTCAATTAATATTATGGGTTATATCACCGAATACATTGTGCCATACGTATGTTTTACCCATATGCCATATACTGTCTTCTAGCAGCACTCTTGGGTGGAAGGGACATTATGCCAATTTTTTAAAACTCTGATAACAGTCAGGCTACTAGGGAAAATTGCTACAGATCCATTGGCTTGTGATGGGCAGAAAGATCATTATGTTCTTTGCTGAGGGAAATATAGAAGTAAATATCAAGTACTGGGAACAAGAAGAGTAACGTCCCCATTAAATCAACTATAGTATACATAAATTATAGGAATATCCAGGCTTGGTCTTGGGACATAGGAGAAATGCAGATAGTTCCTTACCATTCAGTTGGCCAGACTGTGGCCCAATCTGCATCTGCTATGTAAAGCTGTTCCGTGCTGTTGTGGTGCTAGCTTCCCATTTGGCTCAGTATAAAGCTCTGCTCCATCTGCATCAGGACACGAGTTGTTTAAGGACCCATATGCCATATGGGTCCTTAAACCCATAGAGAGGGGGGGAGCTGCCTCCTGGGGGTGCTGGCAGGGCACTGCACTGTGCTGTGTGTGGGGAGGAAACAGAACCCGTGACCCCTCCGACACAGAAAGTAAAGGGGGTGACCTAGTGGAGAGGGGGGAGGAAAGACGGAATGAGCTGGGCAAAAAACACGAAACTCCCAGTGGCTACCAGGCAGGGGATGCTGGGGACTGCTCCAGGAAATAACAAATGGTTCAGGGGTGGGCGTGGGTGGGCGTGCTTCCAACCCCACCCCCCAAAATATGATCACAGAAAAATGTTCCGTGGCTGCTTTTAAATGCAGACAACTGGATTTTCAGCTAACTTGCTTCCTTTGTGACAATTTGCGTATCTCCTTAGAAAAGATGTAGGAGGGAGAATTCGGCTCCCGTTGTCTGCTTTTTGCTCACAGCGGCTCGAGGGTGGGGAGGAGCAATTGTACTATCTTAAAACCAAATCCAGATAAGGTGGTGAGACACCGTAGTGACCTCAGAGTCAGCACTAAATGGCAATAAAATGATGCAGACAACCGATGCAGAGATGAAACAATAGGAGAGTGGTTGCAGCATGAGATGCAGACAAAAATTTGTGAGATGATGTGATATTGTTGGCACAATGGTGGGAAAGACCAATGCAGATTGGACCTGTGATCTGCAGACAAATACTGAGGGGACAATGTGTTTTAAAGAAAATGTTCATGTGCTTTCCTAAATAGCTTTTTTGGCTTTTCCTCAAATGACTATTTAGGATTCCTGCTTTATTTAAAGAACAAATTATTTTATCTTATGCATTAAAGCACTGGAACACATTAGCTTTACAATTAAGTTGTTATAGGAGGAGGAGTTGTTCTTTTCTCACCATCATTAATAATACTTATGGAATATAAACCATAACATGTGCCTATTTTCTTACCAACACTCATTTTAACTGTAATGTATATATCTAGTATCAGCTAAACAAAACCATTTTTTGCTTGGCAGCCATGAACTAACAGCTAGCCAGCTATATTTTCCCTGTAAGGGCAACTAGAGAATTCAGTTCTTCTTAAATTACTATGTTCCATCTGTGGAATTCCAAATTGTGTAGTGGGGTTTGCCCTCCAACCTGAATTGGGACAACCATCTCTTGAAGCTCAGGCCTGGTTGAAGGCTTTCCCCCTCAAAGTTAAAATTTTACACTCTGACATCCAAGAGGGCTACCTTGGCTTAGTCAGAGAGGACTATTATATTCCCCACTGGGATAAACTTGTTGAGCAATGACTACAGTTCCTCAGTCTTTCCTTGGACTCCCTTTATTCAGTTACCAGACAAGAAGCCATAAGAATGATCAAGAAACATCTATTTAAGTACAATTCTAACAATACAATCTGTAGAGCATGACAAGTTTGTCCTACTCAATTTGTTGGTATTCTACTTGGAGAGTTCCCCGATTACTGCTCATATTTGACTGTTCCATGCTATAGGTGTGTGTTTATGTTGGCGCGTCTTAATGTCCTACCATCTAGAGTTTTGTAAGGGAAGTATCTTAAGATGCCATACTCTGATAGAGTATGTGGTGCAGGTAGTGTAGACATCCTGTATCATGTGACCTTTAAATGCAATAATTTTTATGAGCCTAGAAACCTTTTAATTCTTCCTTTGCTCCAAAATGTAAATTATATGGAGATGTTACCTCTGAAGATTAAACAATTGTATTATTGGATTACATTTATTGGACTTATGTGTTATTGTTTATTGGTACACTGTAACCTGCTCTGAGCCCGCTTGTGGGGAGGGTGGGATACAAATCCCATGGAAATAAATAAATAAATAAGAGCAGACTTATCACTCTTTTAGCTGCAAAATTTTATGCATCTGTGATAGATTTTTGCACCCACTCAAATGGGGTCTAGCTTTTCCTATATTTTAGTAATTTACTTAAAACTAATAATTTAAGAAGCAGTATGATGTACAGAGGTAAAAATAATGAAAATGAACAAAAAACACCTGGTATTTTTTTGCTCCAGATATACTGGAGCAAAAAAAAAAAGAGGGGGTATTCCAGGTTTTGCGGGTTCCAAATATCAGTATTTGGACCAAGGGGTTTCCCATGGAGGGGGGGGGGACTGCAAAAAATGAAAAACCCAAGAATTTCCACTTATAGGGGAGGGCGGGATATAAATCAAATTATAAATATAAAAAAATAAAAAACCCTGAGAATCTGAACCTATGTAAAACCTGAAAATATGAAACGATGTAAAACTTGAGAATCTCACCCACGTAAAGAATAAGAATTTCAATGTAAACCACAAGAATCCACAACCTCCCCCAAAAACCCAACACAAACCAACTCCAGCAAAGAATAAACTTTTAAGAAACAACAAAAACAGTTGAAACTGACAGAAACTGCAGTCTGGCAAGCCAACAGCAAGCCCTGGGAGACACAAAAACATGGGGGGGGGAGGAGGAAAAAACAGTCCAGGGAGCCTCCCAATATTCCTTATTAATCCTAATATTTTCAGGATTTTTCAGGATTTTTTCATTTTGCAAATTGCTTAACTTAATTTGGTTACCTTTCTGTTTATTAAAAATAATTTCTGTTTAGGAAACTTATTCCCCTTTGTTCTTTTGAATGGTGGTCTGAATGTGGACCTTGGTATACACAGGCTAGATCCTAAGTATTGAAGTACCCCAAATATACATGTCTGTTCCATGCTAGTAGGAGACACCTTTGCACAATATGATTCCTTCGTGTGTATGCTTCTTGTGGGTAATACAAGCTGTTTTTGTACATTGTTTATTGGTGAGGGCTAAATGTATTGAAAGTCCTCTTCAGAGGCATATCTTCTGAATACATGCCCATTGCTTCACTTTTTTAAAAATTCACAGTTATTCATTAAAATGGCAACATGATACGAAGAAAAACTTCACTCACTTTCATAGTCCGGCAGGCTTTCAATAGCAGAGAGCAATCTCATTCTGTCTTCTTGGTTTTCAATCCTTAGCTCAATCAAATGGCACTCTTTTAGATCTTTTAAATCTTCCAGTTTCTCATAGCCATTTAGCAAGAGAGTTGATATGTAGTCCTGAAAAAAAGAATGCAAATTCCTACTTTTTAAATGACTGGAATTTTTACTCCCCCCCCCTTTGTGGTTTTGTTAGAAAGGGTTCAGGATGATCTGAGGTTCCCAAGATCATCACTGTTTCATATGAGAACTTTACAGACAGTTATGAAATGGCATATACAATTTATTTAATCTGATTACATTAATAAATATTTGGATATGATATTTCACTACACGAGCAAATATTTTGTAACTGAATAGTTGTAAATACTGTTCTTTTGGAAAGTATACAGTTCAAAATCCAAATGTACAGTGAGAAACAATTTTTACTTTAACAATAAATAAATAAATAAAATAAATCAATTAACAATGAAATTAAACAATATAATAAGTGCAAAATCTATTTAATGATGGGGAAAAGACACATTTTATTCTCTTGCTGAAATAAACACGCCTGCTTAATTGTGGCAAGATTGTGCCTGTGTCTTTAAATTTCTGACATGCACCTAAATCTTTCTTTTCCTTTAACTGCATACACTAGGATTTCAGTAAAAGAACCCAGCATGTATGCTGGCGCAAACACAATCCTTTACAACCCCTTTCTCCTATATTTACACAGTCCCATTTGATGTATTCTTCAGTCAATTTTTTCTCAAATCTTAGAAATGTTTATATCTTATAAATATGCCATTTCAAACAACATTGCATTTTTGCACACAACATAAAGCATTTACTTATTACCACAGAGATATAACTTTGTTGTTTATTATATATTTATATGCATCTATTTCTGAAGCCTGAGTATGTGAAAGAATTTCATTTATATATCTTGTGGTACAAAGTTAAGAGGAATAATTAACATTTGAAAACGGTATTGTAATTGTGAAATACTACATAAATACTGTTTATATTCAGTGCTGCAATGTTCTTACCCCATGGTTAAACAGAGTAAGTGTTGAGTCTCTCCCACCCTTCCCCAAGCATTTAAATCAGTTACAAGTGTTTTTCAGTCATAAAGAAAATGGAGTGAGGGATTTTATGAACCAAACTTAACAATAAGTACACAACTGACAGGCTCATCAAATGGATTTGCTGCTTTTAAAACTGCATTTTTAGCAGGATGGGAAAAGTTAGTAGCAGACTGTTGGCATGTCATTTAAAGGCAAGCCCTTGCTGACTCACCACTGAGTAAAAAAGAAACCCAACAGTGCAAATGTGTTGGCCTGAATCCTAAACCTTGCTTCCATTTGCAGCTCTTTTTGTCCATGGGAGACGTGGTTTTCCACTTCTTTCCTCTGGCACTAGGTGCTTCTCAGCTCAATGAAAGGCATTTGGATTAGTGGAACCTCCTAGTGATGGAGGAATGCATTTTGCATTTGAGGATGCCTCTACAACAAAAAAGTGTGCTGTGCGAAGCAAGGCTTAGAATCCAAGTCTGCGAGTTTATTTTCAAGTTGAATTGATGAAAAATGAATTGGATCCTGATTCTACCGATGTTCTACTGGAAGTGGTTCTTTCCCCTGCAGAAGCCCCTTACTGACCCACCCAAAAGGCACTACTGAGGCTCAGAGGTCCCTTGCAAAGAGAAAGCCATTCTGGTTACAGGCTACAGTGAGGAGAAGAATTAGGTAAGATCACCCCTTTTCCAGCAGTGGAATATCCACAGGATCCAACCTACTGTGCCACTCCATTCTATTTGTCTGATGGTAAAAGAGACAAGAGGAGAGAGAGTGCTAATGCATTTGGAACACGATTATCTGAAGCTTCAAAGATTAATTTCTCCTAGTTAAATAGAATTTAAAAACTATATGTGAAATAGTTTTCTCTGCATTCAGATATCTCCTAGTTAAATAGAATTTAAAAACTATTTCTCTGCATTCAGATGAGGTCACTACTGAGATTAAGACACCAAATGTAATTTAGAAACAGCTAGTAGTGAAAAAGGAACGGAAGAAGTAATTAGGAACATTTGAGGTGCATACTGGAGACTGTTCCCAATTCTCCCTTCCTTGTGGGCTAGCAAAGTCCTAGATTTAAGTTACCTATAAAAAAGGAATGGGCACCTGCTTAGCCCAGATCATATTCAAATGGCTGAGATTGTCCCAAGACCCAGGTTCAAATCCTTATTCAGCCATGATGCTCATCAGATGACCTCTTACTAGTCACTCTGTTTTAGTTTAAGTTGCCACTGAGATTTGGTGTGAGGATAAAATGAGGGGAGGCTAATATATGCTGTTCTGATTTGGGGGGGAAATGATTGGTAAATAGATATCTTACTGATTAATAATATAAAGGGGGAGGCTGGAAGAAGATTAGTCCCTCCTAAATATCTATAATCAGCACTTATCCAATAAATAGTCAATTATCTGGCTACATACATATTGTCTGACATTTTGAGAGCAACTGCTCAATTTATCATGAAGTGATTTGAATCCAGAAGACAAAAAACTGTCTCCTTAGTCAATAGACAATAAATGTATCCTGGGCCTCACAAATCAAGGCCTGATGAAACTGTAGTTGTAGGCTCGAAAATATGAACATTTAATTAACTATGTGCAAGAGAAACATAAGAAACCACAACAGTGTTTACTTTACTGACCTGGAGATGGAGTCGTTCCAAGAGTTCCTGAAGAGATTTAGGCTTGGCCCTTTTACTTCTCTTGCGTGGCTTTATCTTTCTGGATGCAGATTCTTCTTCTTGTTCAATAAGATCCACATAAATAAATTTGAAGTTTCCCACTTTGTTATTCAAGAGCCCTGTCCACATGCCCATAGGAGTTTTGCAGATGATGTCAATAATGTCTCCTTTCTGAAAGAAGGAAAAACCATGAGAGGTTTTGGAAATCATACAGGTTATTTATGATTCCCACTAATAATTTATTCTACTTGCTCAAAAAAGTGCCCCTGCAAAGAAAAAACCTGAGTCCTTTCAAATATTTATGTGTGTTTGGAAAATAAATAGAACTCATTTTACAGAAAGCTAAAACTGACAAGAATGAACAAACATGGCCCCATTCATGTTTGCACAGTATCTGCTGCAGCATGGTTGCTTTCCATACCTTTCCAGTAAGTATCAAAGACATACTTATGTGAGAAGTAATATGATATGATATATAAAATACACACTTCACTTTAGGTCTACACATTCCCTTCTGAAGAAGTAAACAGTGACTCACGAAAGCTTATTCCCTGCTGCCACATAGTTTGTTAGTCTTTAAGGTGCTTCTGGACTCTTGCTCTTTTCTAGGAATAACAAGACCACCTCTTCTAACATCTCTTGTATATGTGTATTTAGGTACCTTCATCAAATTCAATGACTATAAAAACCAAGTAAAACTGACGGTTTACCCCTCTACCACTGAATTCCCCTTCTCCTTCCAATCCCACATCCCCAATTGCCTGTGTGATGCTTCCACTCCAATGTCACATTGCCACCTATCCAAGATGAAAATTCTTATCTTCTCACCTCCTCAGATCCATTGATGTCAACATCCACCTTGCAGAACAGGCACAAACCATGGTTTTATTTTTGACTCTTTATCTCTCTCTTGTTCCCTACATTTAGTGTGCCACCAATTCACCATTTTGAGCATTTTAAAAAAAATGCAGCCAAACCTCTCACCCTCCTTCGCAAAAACTCTGGTGAACACTCTTATATCTCCTACCTTTGACTACTCTAGCCCTATCCCTATCTGGTTTCTGTCACCATACCTCAATCCAGTCACCTCTATCCAGAACTCTGTCTAAAAAATAATTAACTTCTCTTATAATTCTGACCATGCAACAGTCATCCTTAAATTTCTACATTGGTTTCCTAATAGTTCCGGGCAGGTGTCATTTCATAGAAAAAGAGGTGCAGGAGCTCATTAGCATACCTTATTTGCATATGCCACACCCCCTGACATCACCGGAAGTGTGTCAGAAGGCAACATCCACCGCTCAGGCTCCACTGGACTGTTTTGGATTGCTAGCTATTGGGGGGGGGGGACGTGCAGATCTGTCCTCGTAGAGGAGGGAGAGCTTGTACCTGCATAAAACTTGGTCTTAAAGGTGCCACTGGACTGTTTTGGACCGGGGGATGGGTGGGGGAGCTCTGCAACTTACCTGGCTGCTTCTTGCTCTGACTGAGGGCTGCGAGGAGCAGGAGGTGGGGCTTGTTGCATGTGCCCACCCCCTGGGCTCTTTACTGCCGGAGCTCCGCTCCTGTGCGCTCCTGCGGGAAATGACCCCTGGTTCCGGATCCAGCCCAAATCCCACATTTTCATGGTCAAAGCCCTATATGGCAATAACTCCCCTTGTACTTGTCCTTTCTCATACCTTAATACAGTCCTCCCTATGATCTGTGCTCTTTCATTTGCACCACTCTTAGCAGGAGACATTTGGATAGCTACCTCAGTAGCAATGCCTTTTCTCATTTGCTGTCCCCTATCTGAAACTCCCTTCCATAACACCCACAGGACAGAACATCACTTTCTTACTTCAAAACCCATGTTTTCTATTACCAAATGGTAAAAAAGGTATTATGCGAATTACTGCATATTCACATAAAAAGGTTTCTTTCTTTCTTACTTCAAAACCCACGTTTTCTATTACCAAATGGTAAAAAAGGTATTATGTGAATTAATGCATATTTTTGTCCTGCTTATCAGCACCCATCTTCTGTGTCTTTGTTGTCTTCTCTGTGTGATACCTGAGACCGTAAGTGCCTAGGTGTAGGGACCTGTCTTCCTCTACTCTGTAAAATGCCATGCATGTTGATGGTGATACAGATACATAGAACTAGACCGAGCTATATTATAATATTACATTTCCTAAACAAAGTACTGAAGCATCCAGATCAATATGTTTGGTCAAAATCATGACAAATTGGTCCAAAAATACCTATTAGGCAAGTGGTAAATCTGGTTCCTGCATAATTTGTGCTAGATTATTAAAGTTTTAGAGGAGCTACTGGTTTCTTCTTTAGACATTAACCAAGAGCAAGCCATTGATATGCTTCAGTAAAAACTGACAACTTAGGCGGATCCTCCATTCCCACGGGGCTCAAATTATTACTTCAGAGTTCTTAGTCAGCAATGAAGCAGCACTTAATCACACCCCACAATATTTTAAAGATGGGCACTAGACATCATCTTGTCTTTGCTAATATGGAAAAGTGAAGCACATCTCTGCACACCACCCTGCCCAGCCATAATTCAAGATCTTACAGCAGCAAAGTGTTTGGCAGCATTGTGCAAACTGGAAATCTCAATACAATTATTAGTATGTCTTTTTGGACAGAACCCTCTAAAAACGTACAGCCTTACAGCATAAAAAGAAAGCCAGAGCATTTTCTCACCTTTATTTTGAGAGAGTCTGTGTCATAAGGACTTGGTGTGAAGTCTGTGTGCACTTTGGCTTTGCCGCAGAATGGTCCTGTATAAGGGACTTCGTCATCAAGCCTCAGGCTGTCCCTGTTGCCGGTCCCATCTGAGCAGCTAGTTACTCCACCTGAAAGTAATAAGGAGGATCACCCTTAGATGGCATCTGAGATGGATTGTGTATAATGCCAAAAAGCTTTATGAGAAATATTTTTAAAATAAAACATCAGAATCCCTACTGCAAACACAGAAATATCATCTGTATGGTAGGTCGATGCACTATATAGTCCCACATTCAAATCAATGGGGTTTAAAAGTGCTTATCTTTGTCTGGATCATGCCTCACATAATTTATTAACATATGCTGCAGGATAATCTTAATTGTGACGATGTGCTAACAGATGGGCAATGCAGTCCTCCAAATCCTGAAACAGCACAAATGCCATTAAAATGATAAAACCCAAATCAGCAGAGAGCTGTGAAGACTGGAGCCTGGATTTTCCTTGGGGCTTGTTGAAATAATGTTAAAACCCAGCAACGTGTGCTTTTAGTGCTCCAATTAAATTAGCTTCTGTTTAATGTTTCCTCTTTATTCAGGCAGCCAAGAACAAGAGTTTACTGTAGATGTCCTAAGGTATGCTAGACAGGAAGCTTCCAAAGAATGAAGCATTATGGAGGAGAAAAGTTTTAAGATTTCTAGACATCATTTTGTCAAAGCCAAACAGTCCAACATCAGCACATTTGAGCAAGCTCTGTTACATTCCCTCTAAATATGCTTACGGCAACAGCATTGGTACCATGAATTTCCCCCCACAAAACAGATAATGGAACAAGAAAAGGATTTCACCTTACTTAGTTGATTAAGTGGGCACTGGAGAAGAATAAATAGTAGTGTCAGGTCATGACCATTCTGAGAATTTGCCTATTTGTTTGTTTCAAAGTATATGTATTAACAATATATTGTCACCAATAGCTTTCAAAGGCAAACCATTGTAGGATGTATTGTCGTTAATACTATGGTAACATCTAGGGTGGACTACTCAAAGTCTATAGCACAGTTACCAAGTAATAATTTTCAGTTGTTAAAAGGCACTACTGTCCCCACCTTGTTTAGAAGCAATACTCTCAAACTGCACACTTAATCCAGTAGTGGTATGTATTCTTATTTGGAAGAGGGAATTAAATGTGCTTCCTGTCATCTCTCTCTATTTCGTAAGACTGGGTTAATGACAGATATTGCAGCTACACCTTCTCCAGTCCAATGCCTTCTATGGTCCACCAACTGCTGAAGTAAGCAGAACTTTTGTTTTGCCCCACAGTGGACGATGATTAGGATAAACAAAGGGACTGTGGAAAGAAGTCTGGCAAGAGAAGCCAGGATTATGTATTCATTTCTGAGAACACAGGGTGTAAAAGAATCAAGAGGCTTCTCAATATTGCAACCTGGAAAAGCCAGGATTAATTTAGATTCTTTCTTTGGTCTTTCTCATCAAATAATTCCTTAGACAGCTGTATTTGCATAGATAACTTGGATTGCAAAACACAGCATCTTCTGTCAGTTACTAGGGTTCATTCCTTAAGAGACCCATCACATTCCCTTCTGTTCCTTTAAAAGTCCTGAAGGAAATAAAAGTTCCCAAGAAGATGTTTTTCCATCCAAGTGGCCATTTTATCATAAGGATGATACAGGTCCTATGACTCCAGGCCTGTGCAGGGGTAGATAGTTAGGTCCTGATGGCTGCTGGATCAGGTGTACTTCCAAATTATCTTCAAGGCACTGCCAGCCAACTTCACTGGCTATTCAGATGTGGTCTGAACTCTCACCAAAATCTAACTCAGTGTCACTGTGACATGTAGACAAGCTCATTGTGGATACAACCACTTGTATCCATTCTGGACTGGATTCCACAATGATGGTAGATCCTATGTAAGAACTATCTAGAAGCTTCTTCTTGGGAATCAATTATTAAAGATAGAATTAGTAGGAACATTGATGAACAAAAGCAATTGAGGATGAATGAGTATGGATTCTGTAAGGGAAGATCTTGTCTCACTAACCTTTTAGAGTTCTTTGAGGGGGTGAACAAGCATGTGGACAAGGGTGGCCCAATAGATGTTGTTTACCTAGACTTCCAGAAAGCTTTTGATAACGTTCCTCATCAAAGGCTCCTAAGTAAACTCAGCAGTCATGGGAGAAGAGGACAAGTCCTCTTGTGGATTAAAATGGGTTAATTAACAGGAAACAGAGAGTGAATATAAATGGGCAGTTTTCAGAGTGAAAGGTGGTAAGCAGTGAGGTACTGCAGGGCTTGGTAGGAGGTCTGGTGCTTTCTAACTTGTTCATTAATGATTTGGAGTGGGAAGTAAGCAGTGAAGTGGCTAAGTTTACAGATGACACTAAATTGTTCAGGGCAGTGAAAACCAGGGAGGACTGTAAGGCTGGACGAGTGGACATCAATGTGACAAATGAGGTGGTGGCAGCTACAAGCATGGATGGCTTCAAGAGGGAGTTGGAATTGGATAAACATATGGAGCAGAGGTCCATCAGTGGCTATTAGCTACAAGGTATAGATAGAAACTCTCAGTCTGGGGCAAGTGAGACACTGTATTCTTGGTGCTGGGGGGGCATCAGCAAGAGGGCTGCTAGTATCCTGGCCTCACTGGTGGACCTCCTGATGGCACCTGGTATTTTTGGCCACTGTGTGACAGAGCGTTGGACTGGATGTACCATTGGCCTGATCCAACATTGGCTTTTCTTATGTTCTTATGTTCAATGTGGGCAAGTGCAAAGTAATGCACATTGGAGCCAAAGATCCCAATTATAAATACACATTGATGGGGTCCGAACTGGTGCTAACTGACCAGGAGAGAGATTTTGGAGTTATGCTAGATAACCAGGGCTCTTTTTGTAGCAGGGGCTACTGTAAGCTCTTGGAGGATTTGCTACATTAGGGGTGTGTCGCCTAATATGCAAAGGAGTTCTTCAACATTGCTTCAAGATTCTGTTATATAGAGTATGCTTTTAAAATCTTTACATTAAATGTTTGGAGATACTATATGGAAAAAGATGAGTGCCAAGTTCTGAATGGATAGCTGTAGTTAGCTATATGGGTATATAAACAGGAATTTAGGCTTACAAAATAGAGACAGATGACAGGAATCCCAGTTGAGAACATAAGAACATAAGAGATGCCAATGTTGGATCAGGCCAAAGGCCCATCCAGTCCAACACTCTGTATCACACAGTGGCCAGAAATACCAGTGCCATCAGGAGGTCCACCAGTGGGGCCAGGACATTAGAAGCCATCCCACTGTTGACCCCCCCAAGCACCAAGATGACAGAGCATCACTTGCCCCAGAGTCCCTATCTATACCTTGTGGCTAATAGCCACTGATGGACCTCTGCTCCATATGCTTATCTAATTCCCTTTTGAAGCCGTCCATGCTTGTAGCCGCCACCACTTCCTGTGGCAGTGAATTCCAAGTGTTAATCACTCGTTGGGTGAAGAAGTACTTCCTTTTATCCGTTCTAACCCGACCGCTCAGCAATTTCATGGAGTGCCCACGAGTTCTTGTATTGTGAGAAAGGGAGAAAAGTACCTATTTCTCTACCTGCTCTTTCCCATGGGTTAATTAACAGGAAACAGAGAGTTAATCTCACATTTGATGAATTCCCCCTTCTAGATGTGATTAAATTATCACTACTGGATTAAGGGTGCAGTTTGAGAGTATTGCTTCTAACCAAGGTGTGGGCAATAGTGTCTTTTAACAACTATTTATGATTTTATGTGTTTTTGTAGGAATCCGTTGTGCACCGCCCTGAGCCTGCTTGCAGTATAAAAGCCTAATATAATAAATAAACTGGAAAATCATGGCGTAGTAACCATGCTACAGGCTTTGAGTAGTCCAACCAATCTGTTACCATAATAGGTACTGCAATATATCCTACAATGATTTGCCTCTGAAAGCTATTGGTGAAAATACATTCTTAATATGCATAGTTTAAATGGTTATTGATTTTATTAAGGTTTTATATAATGTTGTAAATGGACACTAGAACCATATTTGGACCTATTCTTTGTGGAATACACATTTCTAAATTAATTAAAAAGAACAGGCAACCACCCTCTGACAGATTAGTTTGGTCACCTTTATGAGCTCACTGTTGTGGGTAAAAGGAAACAATTAACACCTGCTGATATTCAAGACTTAATGGGCCCAGAGTCATGTCTTTTGGGAAATGTAATTAACCCAAACCCAGAACATGAACTTTACAGTGAACTTAAACTTCAGCTCAGAAAACTAAAGACGGCTGCTTCAATGTCATTAATCAATTATATATGAGAATGTAAGACCTTACATAAGACTTTCTCAGTGAATAGCATATGATAACAACATTTCTATCTGAACTGTCCGTTTGAACATTGTCAATACATCTAAAGATAATGGATGAGTTAATATTTGGTGAGAGACAATCAGGTTGAACATGTTCTAGGACACTCGTTTTACTGATATACAGCAGAAGTAAGTGAAAAGTTTCATTCATTTTACTCCTGTGCTATTTTCTTATCCAATATATATAATTCCCCTAATGCATTGGCCATTTCCAGCTCTCCCATTGGCTCTGCTGTGTGCTGCATCAGCCATTGTCCGATCAACCACCACTCAAGAGTACTCACATACCATTGGTTGGGTGCTGGGTCCACTCCTCTCTCCCACCCTCTTCCAGCCTGGACACTCTTCCCTCACAGAATAAACTGCCAAACTGGCTGTCTCTCCTGATGAAGACACTTCTCCTGCGCTGGCTGGCTACTGAGGTGGGCCAGTGGCCATTAAACCATTCTCTTCAACCTCCTGCTGTGTGGCTGACTTTTCTAGGGTTGCCAATTCTCCCCTGGAAAAAATGGCTGCTTTGGAGGGTAGACCCTATGGCAATATACCCTGGTGAGTCCTTCCCCTCCCCAAACGCTGCCCTCCACAGGATCCACCCCCCAGATCTTCAGGTATTTCCCTACTCAGAGATGGTAACCCTTCTTTCCCCTCAGTGCCTGTTGCTAGGCAACCAAGCTTGGTTCTGTCAGTAAAAGATGGCGGGGAGCCCTTTCCAGGCCTATTTTGGCCTTTGAGAGAAAACTCATTGGGGCCTGTCCTGACTAGGGTTGCCAGCTCCAGGTTGGGAAACTCCTGGAGATTTTGTGGTGGAGTCTACGGAAGCCAGAGTTTAGGGAGGGGAGGAGCCTCAGCAAGCCAGAGTTTAGGGAGGGGAGCAGCCTCAGCTGAACAGAATGCCATAGAGGCCACCCTCCAAGGCAGTTATTTTCTCCTGGGGGAGAGAGAGATCTGTTGTCTGGAGTTCAGTTGTGATACCAAGTGATACCATAGCCAGTGTGGCGTAGCAGTTAGTACTTCAGAGCAGGGTTCTTGCTGTGGAAGCTGAGTGGGTGATTTCAGACCACTCATAGACTTTCAGCCTAACCTATCTCACAGGGTTGTTGTGCAAGTCAAAAGGAGGAGAGGAGAATGATGTAAGCTGCTTTGGGGGGCCACTTCAGCAGGGTATAATGACACAGAGTCCAGCATTTTCTCCAGGGGAACTGATCTCTGCCATTTGGAGAGCAGTTTTAATGCTGCGTGATCTCCAGCCCTCATCTGGAGATTGACAACCGTTCCCCAGGAAGAAAAGTGCAGTCTTTCTCCACAGTGGGGACCAAAGCAGCTGAAATCAGCAACTCAGCTTTCACAGCAAGAACCTGGGTCTAGTAGACCCTGCTCTGAAGTGCTAACTGCTACAACACACAGGCTGTGGTATTGCCTGGTATCACAACTGAACTCCAGACAACAGATCTCTCTCTCCCCTGGAAGAAAATAACTGGACAAAGAGGGTTGACTGTATGTCCTTCTATTCAGCTGAGGCTCTCCCCTCTCCAAACTCTGGCTTCCATAGACTCCACCACAAAATCTTTAGGAATTTTCCAACCTGGAGCTGGCAACCCTAGTCAGGATTGGCCCCAATGAGTTCCCCACAAAGGCCAAAGTAGGCCTGGAAAGGGGCTTCTCTCCCTACCTTTTTACTGACAAAACCAAATGAGCCACACAGCAGGAGGAGGAGAGAAGGGTTTGATGGCCACTGGTCCACCTCAGTAGCCAGCCAGCCATGGAAGAACCAAGCAGGAGGAGTGTCTTTGTCAGGAGAGACAGCTGTTTTGGTAGTTTATTCTGACAGGGAACAGTGGCCAGGCTGGCAGTGGGTGGGAGAGAGGAACAGACCCAGCACCCAGCCAATGACACATAAGTACTCTTGAGTGGCAGTTCACAGGCCAATGGCTGATGAAGCACACAGCACAGCCAATGGGAGAGCCAGAAAGTGACAATACTTTGGGCTTTTATATCTATAGGATATTGCTTATTGTCACAATATTTCTTTCTTGATTGGGGACACCAAAAATGTTCAGGTTATTGAAATTTAAATAATTTTGTGGGAAAACACTTTAAAAAACCCCACAGCCATCTCAAAATAGAGCTCCGCTGTAAGCTGAAGTAATGTGTCATATCTAGTCCTGTTCTCTGCTGGTGCATTAAGTGGGCTAATCTGTTGAGTTAAGGTAAAACTACAATAGCGGTTCACGGGGGTCATTTCGTAGAAAAAAAGGTGCAGGAGCTCATTAACATAACTCATTAGCACAACTCATTAGCATACCTTATTTGCATATGACACGCCCCCTGAAATCACCGGAAGTGTGTCAGAAGGCAACACCCACCACTCAGGCTCCACTGGACTGTTTTGGATTGCTAGCTATTGGGGGAGGGACATGCAGATCTGTCCTTGCAGGGGAGGGAGAGCTTGTATCTGAATAAAACTTGGTCTTAAAGGTGCCACTGGACTGTTTTGGACCGGGGGGCCAGTGGGGGGGGCTCTGCAACTTACCTGGCAGCTTCATACTCTGACTGAGGGCTGCTGGGAGCAGGGGGTGGGGCTTGTTGCATGTGCCCGCCCCCTGGGCTCTTTACTGCCAGAGCTCTGCTCCTGTGTGCTCCTGCAGGAAATGACCCCTGGCGGTTCAACATGATGGTATTTTCTTCCCTTCCCTATCTACAATTGTTTTCAATTAAATAAGATATTCATTTTGATTAAATCAGACATTATTAAGACATTAAGGATTGTTTTGTACTTACTTGATGAGCTCTGACCACTATTAAGACTATACAGACTGTCCATGGAGTCACTGGTTTTCAGAGATGCTTTCTCAGTGTTTGATCCTCCTCCAGGGTCACTGTCTTTATTAGAGCCGGAATCTTCTTTTCCTTCCTCATTCTTTAAGGGAAGAGAAAAGAGTAGGTTAACGTAAAAAAGCAATATTTGATTAATACACTTTTCACTGAATGAGTATGCGTTATCGAAGTAGGCTAGCAGTTTCAAAAGATATGTTAATTCAATTCACCTCCTGTTCTTAAACTGGACCAGATTCATTAAAACATCCCTGGCTTCCAGAAATAGGGATGCTGCTGAATTCCATTCAAAAAAGTATTCAGGGGCAAATTTAAGATTGGAACTATAGAGGAACTGAACTGGGATGAAACCTGGACTTAAAAGCATTCCTAGAAGTTCTGCTGTGTATTCCAAAGAATTCCATGTTGAGGCTAACATGAAGTGAATGGCATTCGGTTGTACTAGAACAGAGTTTGAGTCCGGTGGCACCTTTAAGACCAACAAAATTTTATTCAAGGTATAAGTTTTTGTGGGCACACACACTTCTACCTAAAATGTTTTATACATCTAATGAAACCTTGGAATCCACTGAATTCTAGCAAATTTGCCAGCAGAATTAGGAAGTCTGGAAACAATTCTTATGTGGGACAGAAGATTCTTTGCCCCATACCCGGAGAATCACTGGATGGGATCTGATGATATTAAGGGTGGGGTTCAGTGATATCATGGAGTAATACCTGGTGATGACACATTGACTAGCAGAGGCAGTACTTCTGCAAATATTAAGCAATGTACCACACAGTATTTGTGAACATGTGTAGTCACCCAATCATGGGGCTTTGAAGAGATGAACTATTAACCACAGTAAAAATCTAGTGTCGTGAACTATTTGTCACATACACACAATAAAAATAAAACATAGTTGAGCTGTTAGTGCCAGATTATTGCTTTTCATCTCCATTCTGCATGGGCAGTAGTTACCACAAGAAAGAATGCACAGAAATCTTAGAAGAAGCCATCAAGTGTGGAGGCCCGCTGGCTGCCTAAGGTGAGCCCCCAGCCCTGTCTCAAGACCAATGCCTGAGACTTACCAACTGTGTGTGTGTGTGGGGGGGTCTCTCTCTCTCTCTTTTTTAAAAAAATAAATTTTATTGAGATTTTTTTAAGAACCAAAAAAAAAGGTAAAGGTTCCCTTGCTCGAAAGCCAGTCGAATCCGACTCTAGGGTTGCGGTGCTCATCTCCGTTTCCAAGCCGAAGAGCCAGCACTGTCCGAAGACATTTCCGTGGTCATGTGGCCGGCATGACTAAACACCAAGGCACACGGAACGCTGTTACCTTCCCACCCAAGTGGTACCTATTTATCTACTTGCAATTTCTTGCTTTCGAACTGCTAGGTTGGCAGGAGCTGGAACTAGAGACTGGAGCTCACTCCATCATGCGGCACCCAGGTCTCGAACTGCTGAACTACTGACCTTCCACAGCCTGCAGTTCAGCGTCTTAACCATTTGAGCCACCACAGGTCCAAAAAGATAAAAACTAACACTTAAAAAAAGAAAAGGAGATAGAAATACAAAGCTGAAAGGGGGGGAGGGCAATAAACAAGAAAAAAAAGATAGGGAAAATATAAAGAAATATAAAGAAGTGACTTCTGATTTTTTTTATCCTTCAATTTATCCTTTTCTCTACGACAAATGCACATAAAATTACAAACTTAACACATGTCAACATGACGCCTTAGTAAATTAGGTTACTTAATTTTTTAATTTCAATTGAAATGGATTTTAAAATCCCACGTGACTACTGACTGATATCCTATTTACAACAATGGAGCCTTATTTGACTAAATAATGTTTCCACTTGCAAGCATAAAGTCACAAGCTTAATAGGGCAGTAATAATGTTTCATTTAATGATATGGAAAGTCTTTAAACAGCTGGAGAAATTAAAATAATGTAGAAATATGTAAAACTGAATTCCTTCACACAGAGTCATATGAGAAGATTTCTGGTTCAGTTTAAAGGGTGGATGGGGAAAGAAGGGGAGGGCAGAGATCAGTGTGGGACTACAGAATATTATCCAGCTCTACTTTATTCAAACTGCAAAGTAATATATCTATAATACAGCATGTTAACATCTATGGAAAGTGATTGGCTTATAATCATACTATGGATCCTTTATTGATTTACTGTGTGTACCTTTGTTCTTTATTTAGATTTCCCCCCAAACGTTATTTTTCTGCAGTGACATTTGCCTGGTAGTACTAATGAGACTTGCCTGATACTATTCCCCCTCTGGAGCCCTTTAATCTGCAGTTGAGCTACCTTGTGTATAGTCAAGGTTTCTAGCATTCAGACCTGTCTTTAGACCTAACATAGCCAGCCTGTCCACTAAGTGTACCTAGGCAATTGCCTAGGGCACTAGTCTGTCCCAGAGCTGGAGGGATGCCAAGCCAGCCTTCCCACAGCATAACAGGATCAGACACTACAGAGAGGCACCAAGGGAGGTCCCAGGCAGGATCAGGAGGAAACCAGAGGTGCATGTGAAGGTCTCCTCCTTCCTACTATTCTCCTCTGTCCTCCACCCAGCTTACTGCTAGGGCTTTTATATCAGGGTCTCTTGGTGCACCTGCCCACTAGAACTTGACAGCCTCTCATAATGGGGTCCTCATCTATGAGAAGGTAGAGGGGGAGGGTGGCAGCTTATCCCTGGCCAAGGATGGATATGCCAGCCTTTCAGCTGGTGGAAGCACCACCCCTGCTGCCTTGAGCAGGGCCCCATGTGGCCAACCTGGAAGCATGCCTGCCAGCCCCAGCCACTTGCCTGTCACTTCTGCCCCTTCCCAAGGGGGAGGGATGACCAAGAGCAATTGCAGAGGACCAGTAGGACATCACAGCTCTGTCCCTTCCTAAGGTGGGTCCTGTGGAGTCTGGGGTATTCTGGTTTAGCCTTGAACACTGGTGGGGCACTGTGGGCACTAGTGGGGCCCTGTGGTGAGTCACAGACCAGCCCTAATGAGAGTGACCTGAGTGGGGAAGGCTTCCCCATGGCATGGGGAATGGAAGCAATCTAGGGCACCAAAAAACCTTGGGCCAGCCCTAAGGCTTAATCCTGGATCCGAACAGGAATTCACATTGTTTATGGAACAAAAAGAATGTGCCATCAAGTCACGGCCAACTCATAACTACTCCATCCATCATTGTTTATGGAACAAAAAGAATGTGCCAACTCATAACTACTCCATCCACGGGGTGTTCTGGGCAAGAGACAAGCAGATAGGGTTTGCCAGTCCCTTCACCCATGTAGCAACTATAGTCTTCCTTAGTGGTCTTCTATCCAAGCATCTATCATGGCCATCCCAGTTTAGCTCTGTTTAACTCTGATAAATAAAGCTGGGCTATTCCAGCTGCTGTTTTTGGACTATTTATTCAGGCTGATAATGGACTGGTGAATCAAAGACTTTCTGCACATCCTCAGAGGTATATATTCTTTGAAAAGTGGCTTGTCACTGCTAATTTTAAAAAAATCCAGAGTTGAGGAAAACTGACCATTAATTTTTCTCCTCTTACCCCCACTCCCCCATTGTCCCACCTAGTCCTGGAGCAAACAGAGGAGTCAAGCCCAGAACAGTATAAGTCTCGCTTGTGACCCATAAATATAACTACTCTGGTTATACTAGTAAATGGCTTTTCAAAATGGGTAGATATTATAAACAGCTATACTTCTGTCCTATCTTTGCCATGCATCACTGTGTAAGCTAAAGAATTAAGTAATCACTTCATAATAAAAGGGGGAATAAAGGGAAGCAATTTCTTCATAGTGTTTCATTATTACAAGAAAGATGACATGCACACTGATCAAGGGATAATGTGCACCACTTGGAAGGTTAGAGTGAATTCACAAGAATATATCACTGGCCTTGGAAAGTGAACTAAGGTGATTAAACATCTGTTCCGGTGTTCCGCTAGGTGGAGGAAGTCCAGAAGCTAACCATCATTTGAGAACTCATACACAACACATTGATTTGACATTGAAGACAGTGACACATTGATTTGACAGTGAAAACAGTACATCATAGGGGTTTGTTGTAGCACCTTAAAGACTAACACATTTATTGGGGCATAAGATGTCATGAGCCACAGCACATTTCCTCAGATGTATAATGCCAATCCAGATGCCAGGCAAAAACATGACTTAATTAAACTAAATGTTTAGTGTGATTATCTGAATGTGGGTCACTACACTAGCTATGGCTGGTTAGGATATGTCAAACTAAGATCTGAAGCCGTGGTTTGAAGTTGGTTTATTAACCACAGTTAACTATGGTTTCACATGATGTATGAATGTGGAAGTCCCTTAACTTCCTGATGACCTTGCCATAGTGCAGGAAAGATGGAGGAAAGAGT